TCTCTCTCTCTCTCTCTCTCTCTCTCTCTCTCTCTCTCTCTCTCTCTCACACACACACACACACACACACACACACTCTTTTCCTCCCAAGCCCAAGCACCCCCGCCCCATCAGTAGTTTTCTGTGATCTCCCATACAACTCCTCTTGTTTCACCTTTAATCCCCTCTCTTCCTTGCCAAAGACTTCATTTTCAGAGGTTTGCCAGATCCACCAGTGCCTCAATGCCTCCTTTAGAATAGATCATGCTTCCCTTGGCCGTGATGTGTTGATGAAGCCATAGTTGACTGGAATTACAGATGGATGGATTCACATGGTTGGCTTAAGTGGTAAAATTGTATTCTGTTGGGAGCAGCAATGGCTCCACATTGTGTAGCCGACTCTGCAGCCAGGGGACATCTGGAGAACAGCTGACTTCTCAACCTGCTTAGCATGGCCACATCCTCAGTGTTCGCTGCTTGCATTCTTCATCAGCCATTTCGGCTCCACATTTTGGCCAATACCTGATGCTGACCCAGTTTGAAATCCAAAGCAGGCTGCCCTTTTTTGACTGGCTGCTATCACTGGCCTGGTATCTCTTGTCTTACTCTTTAGAACTGGTCCCGACTAGGGACAGAAATAACAAAGCAAGAATCTGAATTGTTCCTTCTTTAGTAAGACATCCTTCACTGCAAGGAGGATTGCTGATGCCACAGCAGCTCTTACCAAGAATTGTAACAAAGCTGCCAAAGAGAAACTCCAGTGACCAGCAATCGAGAAATCTATATTAGGCTACATTACAGGTAGTCTTTGACTTCATTTGGTGATTGTTCCAAGTTATAACAGCACTGAAAAAAGTGGCTTAGGACCATTTTCCACATTTATGACTTGCAGAATTGCCATGGTCACATGATCAAAATGCAGACGCTTGGCAACTGGGTCATATTTATGACGGTTGCAGTGACCCGGGGCCGTATGATCACCTTTTGTCACCTTCTGATAAGCAGAGTCAATGTGGAAGCCAGATTCACTGAACAATTGTATTACTAACTTAACAGCTGCAGTGATTCGCTTAACAAGTGTAGCAAAAAAGGTTGTAAAATGGGGCAAAACTCACTTAACAAATGTCTCACTTAGCAACAGAGATTTGGGGCTCAATTTTGGTCGTAAATGGAGGGCTACTTGTACTTGTACTCTATATTAGGACAACTGAAGATAAATTCTATTATACTGTAACATTAGAAGGTATCTGTGACCTTGTAATCCTGTGCAAAATTAATCTGTGCTTAATCTAACGTTAATCCATACTGGTTTAACTTTTTAGCACTTGAAAATAAACCCTTCTGTGTATAGCTTCCATGGAAATGCAGATGTGTTAGAAATTTTTCCATTTGATTGCATTCCTATCTGATGTACATTCTATCATGTTTTCCTATCAATTTAAATGAGTAATGTCTGAATTTCTTGCTGGCAATTAAGGATGCATTTGTGTGAAACTATTTCTTAGTTCCCCAACGTCCTTCAGCTCATGATGATCTTAATATAATCAGAATCCCACATAAAGGTAGAACTAAAACTGCAAGACAAAAATGTGGCTAAAGACCCATTCTCCTTCCTGTCACCCCTTAACTCCCTCTTCCTGTTGGAAAAAACAGAATCTAAATTCAGTAATTTCCTTTGGAAAGGATATAAATCTACCTATTAAACAGAACCCCTGCCAAAAATTTTCTGCATATTTTGAATCAAACAATTCTTAGTCACCTCCTCAAACCTGCTTTGCTAATACTCAGTCCAGATCATTTTCTCACAGATCCAAAACTCAAATAAGGTTAAAGCAACAAAAATAATAAAGACTGACAGATTTATTATGATACAAGTTCCACATCTACTATATATATAGTCAATGAAAGCTATGAATTTGTCAGCTTTTCAAAAGTTTTTATTTTTAAAAAGTTACAGGAAGAAAAAAGAAAAAGATAATTAAAGAAGTGACTTATCTTTTTTGCAGCAGTTACAGATAAAGTATTATCCCTCCTCCCTCATTCAAATTATATTACAGAGATCCCTTTTGTCTCAGATTCAACTTTTTTTCCCAATCAACAAATCCACAAACCACTATTTCACTTTTTTCCATACTCAGCATTCAAAAATCCATTCAAAGTTTCAGTCTTTGAACAGGTCAATTTTGCTATTTTTGATCATTCAGCTTCACATTCCAACCCTCCATTGTGAGTATTTCAGTATTCCTCCATCATTGTTCATATACTAATCTTTCTGTAATAGCCATATAAAAAACAGTCTTCTGTAAATCTTCTCTAAATGATTATCCATAAGTCCCAGTAGAAAAAAGGATTCATCTTGATATTTATGTTTAAAATTCTTTATGTATTTGTATCCAGTTTTTGGTTTTTTGTAAGTCCACCAAAGATCATAAAGTGTTCCTTTGTGTTTTTCACATTTCCACCGTTGCCTAGAAGTACCTTTATATATCTTAGATAATTTATCTGATGTAGTATACCAGTGCTACATCATTTTATAAAAATTCTCCCTTAAATTTTAATACAATATAACTTTCAATCCCTTTACCCACATCCTCTCCTAGTGATCCATCCATTTATATGCTATACTTATGATTTACATCTCAAACCAACTGGATTGTATATACCATAAGTAAAAAAGAATTTTAAAATGGAATGGAATATCTATATTTCAAATATAGTTGCTTGGCATTTTCATAAATTATATCCTTCCAACTTCTGGGTGCACTATTGGTCGATTCAGTTTGAGATACTCCTCATATACTTACATTAAATGAAGTTTTTTCTTAATCTAAAAGTATTTATATATAATCTGATATAATTGTGTGATATGAAGCTATTTTTAGAAGTGATTGTGTGCAGGCCTCCCCTCTTCTGGCATAAAGCTTAGCAGACCCTCCAAGCTATAATATTTGCATAATTTTCATATTTACCCATTTTTCAAAAAGCATAAGAAATCCCCTCTATCTCTTCTAATAAAAACTGGCTGAGATAAAGTGATTATGAAGATCATTCAATGAGCTTCACAGCTGACTGAGAATTTGAAGCTATTTCCCACTGTTTTAAATTCAGTAATGTAATATGTGTGTATCCATTTTGAATTCTAACCTAATACCATAATAGCCTCCCAGTAGTTAATAACACAAGTCATAAACACAACAATTAAGAGGCATAAAAGCTTATAAATAACAGCAACAATATCACCAGTCAGGATTACCCAATTGCCTCTAAGTGAACAATTCTGTCTTCAGCAACTTCTGGAATATTGTTAGGGTTGACCAACTTTTGTGGGAAGGTTATATTCCACAGACCCATGGGCCATAATCCCAAATACTACTTCCTACTCACTTCCTCCATTACTTTAAAGATTAACCTCTTGTGTGAAGATTTTACCAGCTGATTGATTCTACTTGGAAATGGTGGCTCTGAAGATATCTGGAACCAAGCCTAGTAGGGTTGATAGGTTAAAACTATCACTTCGAAATGTACCCAGAAATCAATTGGAAGCTTCCAGCACGTGTGTAATATTGCCCATGACACTCACACATACTAGAACAGAAGGACAGAGTTGGAAGGGATCTTGGAGGTCTTCTAATTCAAAGCCCTGCTCAGAAAATTATGACTGGAGACAGGGTGATAATAATCTGATATGACTGGATTCTGGGAGGACCTCTTCAGGACAGGCAACACCAGCACCTGTTACCTCATAGACCCAGCCAACATTCCAGCTCCCAAAGGAAGGAAATGGATGCAAGCTAAAGATAGCCGAGTTTATGCTGAAGAACAATCTATCCATTTCACTGGACTTTTTATGATATTAGAAGATGCTATGCATGAACATGGCTTTACAAGAAGCTGTCCCAATCACCTCTCCAGATTCTGCCAGTTAAGAAGTCTTCAGTAAACGCAAGCAATATTATCAGCAAAATGACGTGTAGGGAAGCAGGCTGAAGGGAGATTGCAGCTCAAAATGCACTAAAAGCTTCTCCACTCTTATTGCCATGATGTAGGTTTAAACATAAGCTCTTATTTGATTCAAATTCTTATTTTGATTCAAATTCTACCTCTACCCGGAGCACTTTATTCATCCCTTTTGTGGCTTCTGCTGCTTCATCTTTTAGAAATCTTCAATCAATCAAGGTAATCACTAGGATCAGCTGACAGAATTGCTGTTCAGAAGTAACCATATCAAGCTCCTGGTCACTTCCTTAATTCCAAAGATTCACCAGGTGCCCTACCTTCCCTTTTAAAAGTTGCTTTTTCTCATATGTTTGGGGATAAATGTAATAGCATGGCCAGGACTAATATTTGAAAATAAGCCAGGATGAACAGCACTTACATGCAAGGTATTTTTTTCTCTCCGTATACTAGCATTCTGACGAAAGCTGGCCATTAGAATTAGTTCTTACTATAAAAACACAATACTCTGGTATAATGGTGAATGTGATTTACAAACATCCCATGTGTACTATTCTTAACACTCAATGAAGTATATTTAACAAAGTCTTTTATATCACTGGTATTTCTGTTTGAGTGCAGAGAGTGGGAATCTTTTAAAGTTCCCTTCCGAAGTTTAAAGATAGCATTTTAAGTTTAGTAATCATTTTGCAACAGCTATTTATAAACTTTATTAGAACGGGGAAGAAAACAGCTGAAATGCAGTTCCTCCTCTGAAGTTTCCTGTGGTGAAAAGAGGCAGCGCTAGAGCTTTCTAAAACATTGTAAAATTGCT